TGCGCTATCCTCTGCTTTATATCCCTACTACTCCTTCCGTCCTGACTTATCTGACTTCCTAGATATCTAAAATCAGCCACTTCTTCTAATTTTTCGTCTCCTATCTTTATATTCGCTCTTTCCCTACTTTTTCTTCCCTTGCATACCAGTATTTTAGTTTTACTTTTATTTATTTTCATACAGTACTGTTTTGTCACTACCACATCCATTTTATTTAAAGCTATCTCTAACTCCTCATTGCTAGATGCTAATACTGCTATATCATCTGCAAATCTGAACATACCAATCATTTGTCCCTGTATATCTATCCCTACAGTTGTACTGTCTTTAATGATGTTGATCGCGTCTTCGATGTATAGATTAAAAAGTAGCGGTGATATTGTGTATCCCTGTCTGACTCCCTTCCTAATATTTACTTCTCTACGTTTCAACCCCATCTCTATAACTGCCTGTTGTTCTTTATATAAACTGAGTATCACTCTTCTATCTTTGTAACACATCCCTACATTTTTAAGTATATAAAGGCGCTATCAAATAATATACAGCTACGTGTAAAAACAAATAAAATCAAGTCCTCTTAAATTTTTGCTATTGTATACTGTTGAACATGATCGTATTGTAGATGCACTTTTGTAGCTTAGGTTGCTTGGAAAAACGTTCCTTCAGAATTTGACAAATATTTTGTGGTTTTTTATTAGATTATATGAAATTTTGTGACTGCCAAAATGACTTCTACTTCGAAAGATGAGAATAGAAGACTAAAATTTCTGGGTGAAATGTCTGTTGTATATGGCGGGGTGACGAATTCTATCGAAGACGTTAATACGCGTGTGATTAAAAGGCGAAAGCATAAAAGAGTCGTTCAAGACGATGGTTTACCTTGGCTTCTGCCATTCTCCGAGAAGGATTACCTTAAGAAGGGAGCACAGGGAGATATTGATGGAATTATAAAACGATTCAAAGGAAATAGGGGCATTTCTTTAAAACGATTAAAATTGCCAGGAATGCAAGGTGTCGGTATCTCTGTAAAAAATGGTTTGAAGTATATTATTTATGGAGTTTCCTAAGATATACGCCAATGATAGAAAATTTTAATATTATTAAATTGTGTGAATGTTCAGGCTCTCAGTTTTTTGATTAAATAAAGATTTTTAAATTCTTGTTATCTTATAATAATTTTTA